TATATCTAAAATGTAGACTCTGATAGTCTATTTTCCTTATACTTTTATTATTGTTCCTCTCCAAAATACTGTAACAGATGAAACATACATGACGGTCTTCTGAAAGTAGTCACTCATGCCATGACTTCGAATGAGTTGACAAATAAATATTTTTTTAAAAAAGAAAAGTTTGTGGCATATTATAACAGAAATTAAAAGATATATAAAAAAAAATGAAGCATTTTGCCAGGGCCTTGCACAAAAAAGGTGGGAGGGTGGTGATTGCTAGTCAGCGGATATGATGGTGGGGACATATGAGAACCACCCTTATCTGTGGGACAGCACTCTATTGCTAAGGCTCCTGAGTTCGAATGGCTTCTGCAGAATAAGAGAATAAATAAAATTTAAAAAAAAAGACAACAGAAGTTGAAAATTTGCCTAAAGCTGAAGTTTAAATAACAAACTCCTCGAATGCAAGTACATGGTATGAGTCCCCTACTTCAGAAGGACACCTAAATGTATACTTCAGAAAAACAGTAGTTATTATTAAGCCCTCGCTTTTCTTCTACATAGTTCACGCACTTTGACTTTTGTGTTTAACTCCTATTTAACCTATATAAGTAGGTAAAATTATCATCTTTTTTTCACTTAAACTTTTTTTTCTTTTCGCAAGAAAGACCAGAATTCCATCACTAGAAAATCTCAGGGGGAAATAGTATTTTTTAAATGAAAAAAAAACAAAAAAATGATGAGCCCCGTGTTTTTTTTTACATATGTTTTAAATTATTAACACCTATTATATACTTCTGCACCTCTCTGTCGGTTTCCTTGTGTCTTCTTCTCTTTTCAAAGGTACTGCCTTAAACGAAGGCACTGAAACATTGCCGCTATCCTCGGAATATTGCTAGCCCACCCGGTGAATAACGGAACCACCTCTATCATGAAATCTGCTGACAAGTTCAAAGTTGGTCTCATATACAACTGGAAATGTCACAATTATGGTGTACTTACCGGTGAATTTGAAGTTTTATGGACTTTCAAACACTCTATGAATCATTTAATTACAATTACTGTTCATTCCGCATCTCTTATATTTCACGTCAGCACCTGTACGAAAATGCTACTTACCTTCCACAATTAACGTAATCGTTTATAATTCCCGCGTGAAATTGACATACCGTATTTTTTTCAATTACAGTTTTGATTTGATGCTATATCTCATGAATTATTCAGTTGAAAGCATATCTCGAAAATTACCTATTGCCTTATTTGTACATTTCTTTTTAAATATTTCTCTCAAATTTACCAGTATTCAATCTATTTCTAGATTAACAAATCATATATATTCTATGAGTTCTAATTAGTGTACATTTGTTCATGCCTGTAAAAATGGCTGGTTTCTGTTCCAGAAATAAAATTATTATTATTATTATTATTATTATACCCATCGAGAAATTACAAAACATCTGAAAAGTAAGATTTTGATCATTTGAACTGAAACAAGCAATTTGTATTCAGCCAACGTTTTTACTCCGAATAATAATCAGCTTCTCAGGTTGTTATAACTTTGAAAAAACCACCGATTGTAGACCACAGTCCAAATCGTTATGCTTGCTAATTATAGTGTTACCTTTATTTAAGATAATTCCTACACTTACCAGGTCACTGTATGATATTCGCTTTTTAAATCGTTCTGTAACACATTGAATAACTGATAACATTAGCTTCACTACAGACATTTCTAGTTCATGTATTCGGACCTATTACATTAGTCACTTACAACTATATGTAACACCTACCCCTTAGAGGTTTCTGATTGCCTTTCGATTTCTTTTTGTTTCCAAAAGTACATACAAAATCTACATATTCATACTTCACATGTGTTTCTTTCTTGTTTAATTTAGATTCTCCCACATTCTCTCTGGTTTTTTAACTGATAACAGACACACTGATGGTATACTCACCTTCCCGAAAAGCTTCACAGCTTTTCCAATCTCAACCCAGGTCCTAAATTTTCCAGGTTTAATATGTCCTTCGATAACCTTGCTAATATCAGCTCTGATCGAGCTTTCTTCACCAAATTGACTCGTAGATTATTGAATGTTATAGACATGAATGTGAAAGACACTGTTTTTCCAGATTTCTACATATTAAGTAACCAACTGAGCCAGCAACAATAACGGCTGGAGACAATAGCTTCTACCACCTAAACATGTTCATGAATTCCAAAACTTCTACACAGTAATATTTCATTAACGGCTGAAAAACAACTAAAACCCGGTAACCAAGGTCGAATACAACGTATGAAACAATTACAATGAAATGAATGAACTGACCTGGTGGTAAAAGCTTTCGAAACAACCGGAATAACTAATTTTAACGGCACCGGAAACAAAAATGAGGTGAAAGGCAACATTTGTGAACAATGTCTGTTAGTCTGAATAACTTCAATAATTATATCTATTATTATTATCTCTTTTCTTTTGACGACGATACCGGAGGGCTAACTGGTGAAAGGATCAACGCCATTCACAGTAGTAACAGTCTTAACATACCTTATACTACAAACCACATATAATTAATCCCAGCACGACTCCTTCTGGAGTCAACCGAAGCTACGACAGTCGAGTGGCGGGACGAGCTATGCAGAAGTTTACCGAAGATCAGGAACCTATACCTCACAATCAAGAGGCGAGCACAAAGAAATCAAATTGGTTTATACTAGCTCGTACTAGCTCATATCATTAAGCCCACGCGCTATGACTCACAGCACTCCCATGGTGAGGATGTGGATCTCATACAACATCTTCCTCCTTTAGGAAGAAGTGACCATGCTGTGCACACTTTCGAGTTCACAGCAACGGCGGCAAGGGCCAAAACCCCATCTCGACCAAACGTTTGGAAAGCTGATATAAATGCAATCGTCTCAGCAGCCAACTCAGTAAACTGGTACATCAACCCAGAGTCTTAAGTAGAAGCCGCATGGAACCAATTTAAACAACTTTACGCCCAAGTAACTGAACCTTTCATCCCTTGGTCTGTCCCGAAGGGTCGGAAACACTGCCCTCCTTGGATAAACCGAGAGATTCGTAAGTTACTCAGACGTAAACACAAATGTTGGAACTTGTTTGCCACACTTGAGACTTCTGAGACCAGGCAATTATATAACACTGCTAGAAATAAAGCTATTGCACAAATCCGCCAATCAAGGAAGAAATTCGAAGCACACCTGGCTCAAAATACAAAGGCACAACCTAAAAAATTTTCTCGTACATGAACTTCAGGAATAAAACATCCAATGGTGTCCCAAACCTGACTATTGACAATGATACAATCGAAGAAGATCAAGAAAAAGCAGAAGCAATGGCAAACTACTCCTCCTAAGTCTTCATTCAGGAGTCGTCACTGCCTACACGATCAGCTCTGGCTGCATCAGAAGAACATGGGATAGATTCCGCTGACATCGACCAAGGCATCGTCCTTAACTGCCTAAGGAAACTAGATGCAGGGAAATCAATGGGCCCTGATAATCTTCACCCAAGGCTTCTCAAGGAGCTATCAGTCCACATAGCCGGCCCTTTGACTACGATCTTCGAGCTTTCTCTCCAAAATGGAGTGTTACCGCGTAACTGGAAAGACGCCATAGTAACCCCCATCCACAAAGGAGGATCAAGACAAAGCCCTTCAAATTACAGGCCTATCAGTCTCACCAGCACTTTAATTAAGACACTGGAAAGAATCATCAAGAAAAGCACGATGGCATATCTAGAAAATAGAAGCTTATTATCGAGAGCACAGCATGGCTTCCGAAGGAACTTCTCATGCCTGTCAAATCTTCTCACTGCAAGAGAAAGCTGGGTCAAATCCAGGGACAACAGAAGACCCGTTGACGTCGTCTTCATAGACTTCAGCAAAGCCTTTGATAAAGTACCTCACAAAAGACTACTCATGAAGTTGGAAAGTCTTGGTGTCAAAGGCAGCTTACTAAACTGGCTCAGGGAATTCCTCATAGATAGGAGGCAGAGGGTTAGGATCAACTCGAAACTCTCCTCTTGGACAGCAGTACGCAGCGGAGTGCCACAAGGCACGGTACTCGGACCTCTCTTATTTATTTTGTATATCAATGAGTTATCTCTGCTCAATAACTCCCCTATGGTCCTATACGCAGGTGACTTAAAGATTTGGAGAGAGCTGAAGGGCAACAGTGACACGTCCACGTTGCAAGAGGACCTCAACAAATTGTCAGAGTGGTCCATAGAATGGATGCTCCCGATAAATGTGGCAAAATGTGCAACCATGCGCATTGGACAAGCAAGCACGAGCTCTTATGAACTAGAGGGAATTACACTTCCATCAGTTCAGACTCACTTGGACTTAGGTGTCATAGTTAGCCACGACTTAAAAACTACAGCTCACTGTCGCGCGGTGGCTGCACGTAGCTTCAGGTCATTATGGACAATTCGTAGAGCCTTCACTAGAATCACCAGAGATATGTTCACCTCCTTAAATACATCTCTGGTAAGGTCAAGACTGGAAAACTGCATCCAGGCCGCAAGCCCTTGTCTAAAAGGGGACTCACTTATTCTAGAAAGAGTTCAAAGGAAGGCAACACGTATGATTCATGGCATGACTAACTTATCATACGAGGAAAGACTAGACAGTTTAAATCTCTCCTCCCTGTCATACTGTAGGCAGAGAGGAGATTTAATTACAATGTTTAAAATTTTAAATAATGACTACGGACCTGACCTGTTTTCTCTTTTCCTTCCCACCAGGTCGGAACACCTTAGAGGACATAGCAGGAGAGTTCAAAAACAAAGAAGAAATCATATTGCTGTTGAGTACTGGCTCTCACACCGAGTCATAAACTCTTGGAACCGACTCCCAGAAGAAGTGGTGTCTGCAACCTTAACTGATTCGTTCAAGAAGAGTTTGGACAACCACAGAAATTTACTAGAAAAGGATTAACATAGGCTCCAAGCCTTCTATCCTCAACCAATAAATCTGAAATCTGAAAAACGATATTGGATATTGGAAGATAAGTTGTGAATAACTAACCGATAAACGTAAAAGACAATGTGTAAGCGAACGTTTAGGTAACGGCAATCCAACATCGCCGACTAGCATGGACGAAAATGACCGGCAGGTGTATAGCTCTTCCAATGACCTTGTCTACAGATGGAGCATATGATGACCTTGAGGGCGGTGGGGTATTTCAATCTGCACACTGGCTCAGTCGAAATAAGTTAGTTTTCCTTTAGAATTTTGGTTGTTCCGTTAAATTCGCAGAATGGTAATCACCACCAAGTACTTTCATAAAAAGTTTAAGCGTGTATCTTGTGCTTTTTATAGTTCACTAGTGTTATTTTGTAGTTAACCTATAGATCATTGTGTTCTATGATTCGCATATATTTTTGATTGTTATTTAATTTGCCTGAAATTCACAATCCTACTTAAAGGCGAGCTATCTTATCAAGTTCTACACGCGTATGTATATTTTAGTTACTATGAATGAATCATTATTTTCAGTAACCAAAATGCAGTCGTTCTGGAACTCGCGAAGCAAATCTAGAGGAGAAGGTAGAAGGTTATAACATCTATAGCTTCAACTGGTTGTCTAAGGTCAAAGGCTGAAATAGCTGCTATAGCTTAATTTCACCCTAAGAACAAGTGAACTATGGGGAATTAACCGTTTTTGATCACAAGTGTTCATGTTCAACTTAAGGTTTACGGTAGTGCACTATGTTATTGGGACCATATGTTAGATAAGGAAAGAAAGTCGATCAACGTGTCTGTGAATGTGATCACTAGAATGCTTGTTGCACACACTAGGCTACTACTTATCTCGACTGTTGCATAAAAGGTTTATCAAAAACCAGAAGAAAATGGCACCAATGTGTTATTTTGTCCCATGGTGAGAAATGTCTATTATCTCGGGATGTTGATAATCAGCAATTAACGACGTTGTAAATTTAGTTCATAGTTATCCTCAAAGGCGCGTAAGTATTCACTCCTTATGCTCTACACCAGGAGACTACTTACAAGTGATCGCATGAAGTTGCACTTTCTCCTTAAATCGGTAGAGTGTGATTTCACTGTATAAAGTTAAAACAAGTGATTCTTTGAAGTCTCTTTGCAGCAAATTTGTCATTAAGCTGTGCGATCATATATATGTAAGTATACGATTGTACAGCTACCTGGATGATAGATTTGCTGAGAAGAAACTGTTCTCTGAAACATTCCTTTTGATTTTCTGTGAGTGCTAATGGAAATTTTCTACGACTTTTAATATAGAACAGTGTGTAGTAGGTTTAGACGATAACGTTTCCATAGTTAAAGTAACTAGCGACCGCCTGTGAAACAGTTTTAGCATATCGTTTATAGTGTGATAATTGATATGATTATGAACTATAAATTACCTAAGAAACGTCATTCAGTAAATAGTACTGGTTCACTGCATGATATGACTAGTAATTATCGTACATGTTTTTCACTTCCGTAAATGCGGGCGTTTTTCATCAAAATTTGTGCAATTCAGAAGGTCTAGTCACATTTTACCGCAGTGAATTTTGAAACATCTTATTTGATCAGTCTCTACTCTATTCTTTAATGACTATAAATATTAGACAGGTTTTTAATCTGAGTGTATGTAATCGTTGTTTGTTAGTCATTATAATAGTTGTTTAAAACTTACAATGGATCAGTCATTGGGTTTGGTATGGTAAAATTTTGGTTTTATTCTTGGTTGGGTTTTATGATGAGTTGCTTTGTCAAGATAGATTTTTACTATGGTTTCTATCTGAAACCTTGAAACGAGATGATTTTGCGAAGTCCTGTGGTATATGGTATGCTTGACAGTCAGTCACCGATTGTGTAAAGCTCGAAGATAACTAGCTGGTTGCCCAAACTTCAGTAGGAAGATTGGGATTCGTAGCTGCTGGGACGAGTTATCGAAGTATCAAACGTTGGCTGACTGAGGTGGGCGGATAATTTGTCATGTATTTTTGGCTTCCGTCTAAGTAGTATAGTCATAGAATGGTTCAGCGAAATACCACAGACTTAGTAGTTTGATTAAAACATCTTTCAAAAGTCTTTAAGTGTGGCGTTTATAAAGTGTTAAGAAGAAATGAGTTTAGATCTAAGACCATACGGTTAAAAATGGATATCAATGAATCGTTTTACATCCTCATGCTGAGAATTAGGCGGTCAAATATCAAAATCATTAACTACAATTTCCAAGGTTACAGAATTCTTCACAGTGTGTACTTTTCTGCTATTGTTAATGTCATTTACTGGAATACTTAAGAGGTATTTACAATGATTGAAAAATATCTTAACTAAGTGTTATTTTACTCTATCTTCTTATCTTATTATTCATCTCAAATGTTAAAGTACAAATTTCTTTTGTTTTGTCTTTCTCAGCATACGGGCAGTCCTGTTCTATTAATCATTGACTATGGTACGGTAGTATTCACCAAATCATATTTTGATTCAGGACCATTTCCTTGTTGGGAAAGCACTTTCGGCACGTTCTGATAGCCATTGTGGAACCAAGTTAGAGAAATGTAAACGAAAGCGTTTGTTTGAACCAGTTTCATCGCATGAATTGGAAAATGCTTATACCCAATTTCTGTCAGGTTTGTCTCAAGAGTTTGCTCGTGCTCCAGCTCGTCTGTCCAGCGGTGTTATTGACGGTGATTTTATTCGCCTTACCAAAATATGTGGAAAGTATTTCCGTATAATGGGTTTCTCTTCTAATGGGTCGTCCTATCTTTATCCAGAAGAAGCTTTACTTCTAGCGGAAAGTAACAAGATTCAAATATACGATGGTGATTTACCGCTTAGCGTTCAACAACTTTACGATCAACTCCTTAGTAGTGAAGCATACTTACACTATCTTGTTTACTCTCGGTTATCACGATTGAATTTTAGCCTTCGAAAAAGAGTAAAGTGTAATGCACTGACAGTTTATCGTAACGTAAAAGACAGATTGTTTAAAATCCCTCAAACGATAAACATTCTCAGTACAACTCAACACCTCTGGGACACAGTTGTAAGCAAGACAAAGCCCGAAGACTTCCGATCTCTTGTTGATACAAATGAAATACATTCAATCGCTGACCTTATGACTTGTCTACAGAAGATTGTGCTACCGGAAAATGCTGATTCAAATCAATCAAAACGTGATTTAAACCTACTCTATGATGTATATGGAAATAATCATGCGGAGAAAGAACGGATTGTAAATTTCTCCAAACGTTTTCCCGCTCATCCTGACTATGTTTTGTCAGTCGTGTCTCCGCAACAAGTGTATCCAAGTGTTGAAGCGCACAGTTTAATTAAAGCCGGTCTAATGCCTGATACCCCTGTCATTGTGTCCATGGTGGATGGATGTGATATTTCTTTTTACATGTCAAGTCATTTTGAAATCCCAAACCTTAATTTTGTGCTAACTCATTAACTTAACAGTGTCTGTAAATATGTTATAAATAAATCAATTTTATTCACTTAATCAAACTTCAGGCAGATTTTTCTGTGCACTCAAACCATTGTAAGTTCAAGTTTTAATTTCGTTTAATCTCTGAAAGCGCTCGTCAAACCAAATTCTATTTCCTTGAGAACTGTTGAAAAAAAAACTGGTAGTTGAACCACAGTCATTCATAATAAGTAACCGTTACGCTAGATTTTGCATCGGTAGTTTGGTGGTAGATTGCTCTCCAGTCAAGCGGAACGTCCGGGATCAACTGTCGGCCGACACACTCCTAAATCCCGTCTGGTTTACTAAACGGTACTGCACCCAGAAAAGACGGATGATTAGGCGTGAACCTAGCAACCCTACCGTGGAAAGCCGATGCCACCACTACTATGAAACTTCAAAAATGTTTGTTAATACAATTATTATTCCCTTGGGTTCCGAGTGGAATATAGGGTGTCAGCAGCGCATCCCCACTTCATCCTGTTTACAACCGTCGTCTCTAGCCGGCTCCACGATTGTCCATAGGCTTTCATGTCACCCTTGGACGCTCAATCCGTCATTTCCCGTTCGCGTTCCACTCAAGGGTCTGGAGCGCGACGTCGCTCAGTGCTCTTCAATCCATCTCCGTTTCTTCCTGCATATTTGTTGGGCGTTAGGCACTAGGTTGGTTTGATGCCAGAGTCCCTTGTTGCTTATCGTTTGTGGCTATCTAATCTTCAGTATGGAGCCACATAAGGCAGTTCTTGATGGAAGTCTGCGATGACCTGTTGGAAATGCCTTTGGTGATGCATGCTCTGAATCTCCAAACCATTTACTTTCTTCCACTCACTTGGAATTTCGGTTTTATATTTTGTGGCGAAATTCCGTATCTGGATAATTATTATTAGGTGCAAATGTATCACTTGAAACCTAGTTGAAATGTGACTCTGTATTATACTACTGATTGGTTGCTATGCGTAGTTGGATACTAGCGGTGATTGCTAGCCAACGAGATCGAAGTGATTTAAATACCAGACGGCCGTTTCGTTCGTCTAGGGCCGATTTCATCAGCAGTGTGTCCTGTTTGAATCATCTCAGAAAAGTGAGTCATTTTAAACCAATCGAATTGTGGCTAGCTACTTACGCGAGTTGGTAAACGGAGCCGACAGTTATATTAATTTGTGTAAAACTTGGTGGAAGGACATCAATACTGATTGATATGTGTGGCCTGACCGATAGCTGCTACCTTGACATGGTGGTTGAGTTTGCATATCGGAATAACGTAACAAGCTACACTAGCTGGAACTATTTTTTGCTGCAGGTCCTACCATGTCAGGAAAGTTGTTAGGATAGCGATTAGGCTAAAAACAGTTACCGGCATTGTGTAAGTATTATTTAACACTATGCTGGGGGTCTGTGGGTGAAGTCGTACTGCTGGGGAACAGGGATGTAACAGCAGCAAGGTATTTCCGAGCATGCCAGTTATGCTGTCTCTCCACTCTGGAGAGGGGGTTAGAAAAGGTCGACACCAAAAATTGTACATCCCGACTTACCTTACCTACGGTGGTCCGTAACCGGGGTTGAATTTACTAATATGAAACCAATCCAAGAGACCAGTTCATACAGGCCGCGTGTGACCGTCCTCAAGCAGTATATATGTTTTTTCCATATTGCTATTCTTTTTTGTCTCATATCTCTCTTTTGCATTTCTTTTTATCGTCTTTTGCTTAGTCTCTCTGTCTGTTTTCGATTTAGAACTTTGCACCCATGTGCAGCAGTTCAAGTCGCCACACTCCATGTAGCACAGAAAGCTAGAGAGAAAATGCATAATAGAGATAGTAGACAGGAATGTGAAGCAAAAGCAACAGTAACAACTAAGAACAATATAGTTTCACTGGGTATCATAAGTCACAAGAGTTGGATGCATTTGTGCCAGTTATTGAGCCAGACATATCACCACTTGTCTCCAGGCATTGGCTTTTCCCATCCTGAGGACCCTAAACAGGCAATCAGGAAGTCTACACCTTCCTGCGTGGCTGGATGACTTAAACTAAGTGTTGTGGATTTCATTGACTGATGAAGCCATGTTTTGGTTTGACCACCACTACCTCTTTTCCAAACTGACCCTATCTCAGCTAACATTGCCCGTTGTCGAGGAAGGCGATGACTAGGCTAGCATACGTAACACATGTCCTAACCATCTCAATCCATGTAACTGCATAGTCTCATCAGTTGGTTTTCCCTCCTGACCTAGCACTCCACCCCGTGCCTAACCTCATTATTAATCATCTTATTATGCCACATAACACTGGACATACAACGCAGACACCTATGATCAAAGACAGCTAGCCAGGCTTTACATGTCTTCCACTCTCAATGGCCAGGTCTCACAGCCATAAAGGAGGACGGAGAGGACTGCTGAGCAGTACACATGCTCTTTGGTCGATAGCCAGTCGCATATCACATCTACGCCAGAGACGGCGTAAACTGGCATATGCGAAACTAGCCCTCTGTATCCGTGCTGAGATTTCGTCAACGATCAACCCGTTGGCACTGGCTGATGCAACTTCCCAAATAAGTGAAGTGGTCAACGTGCTCTACCACTTCACTCCCTATTTCTAAGCTAGGAGTCAATGTAGTCCAGTCCAGTTCTGTAGCATCATCTTACATTTGGTGGGAGCGAATTGCGTGCCAAACAATCGCAGACTGCAGCTCAAGGTGTTCAGAAGACTCTGCAGTTTGTCAGAGTCTTCACCCAAGTGGCAAGACTATATCATCTGCATATTCTAAGTCAACGAGATTATTCCCTGGTAGCAAGTCAATCCCTGAGTCTCTGAAGTGAGTTAGGGTTAATTCCATTAGTAAGTCTATGAAGAAATTGAATAGAAATGGGGATAATGAGCATCTCTGACGGACACCACTAGTTGTCACCACTTCAGATGACAACTCGCCATAAGCTCTCACCTGGCTGGCTGCATGAGTTCAAGTAGAGTGCCTTGATCAGTGCAATGTATTTTCTCGGCATCCCGTTTACAGCTAAGGGAATGCTTTGTTGCTTTGTGTACTAATTGAAGCCTGGCGACTCGAACTGCTGCGCATCGGTTTCTGTGTTGAAACCAGTTAGTCAGATATATGTGATGAGAAGCGTTTAAAACTGAAGTTAAACTTTCAAATCATCGGTTGTTAGATTGGAATGTCTTATATTTCAAAATTTGATCTATACAAAAGTGTGGAGGAATAATTGACTGACTGGGCAATTTACTGCCTCAGACAGCCAATTAAAACAAGTTAATTTTTACCAGTGATCTAGTGTAGATTTGTATGAAAAGTATTAATGGTTGAATGTGGTAGTCCTGCTCACAGTGGGGGGGGGGGCTAGTTTTTGTTGTCTGATATTTTAGCGACTCAGTTGAAGCAGAGGGCGATGTAGGCGAAGAGTCATAAATTAGTAAAGGTATCCCGTTGCTTCCGTTGTTTTCGGTGCCTACTGGGTCACATGAGTTTTCAAGTGTTTTTTAAGGAATGGAATCACAAATATCATTTACCAAAAAAATGTTAAGTGCTTTGCTCGTGTATATTTTTTTAGTAATTTAGGTATTACGATTATCAGACAGAGGACTTTCACTATCGACAGAGTTTTACGTTCCCTGGACTTCTTACCATTCACTGTAGTTATAATATAAATTATCATCATGATATACCTGTGAGAGTGAATGTTATGTCTGATCTAACAACAAGTTGCACAAGCACAGGGGAACAAAACTGTATAGAAACATTAAAATAAGTAGGATTGTGTATATATGCCATTCAATCTGAAGTTTTTTTGATCAAGATTTTTGACCTTATCGCTGTCGCCAGTGTTACATTTTAACAAATTATAGTTTGTGGGATGACAAATAATTTCTCAAAAGAATGGATACTGAACAAAGAGTACTCTTTTCGATAACTTCATCATCAGGATCTACAGTTATATATACACACTATGGTGAATGAATGAATTAGTGTTATGAACAACATTAATGTTGTTTAAATACCATCTAATCAATAATATTGATAGATTACAGTTCAATAGCATCAACATAAAATAAGCTGAATGTCAGAAAAATTAGGAAAGATAACATTACAAATTCATGAATTTATAGTCTCTACTGAAGGCCGGCCAGGGCAGTAGAAGGGGCTGGCTGGACTTGCTTCTTTTGGACACAGAGCACTGGTTGTTTGAGGCGAATTGCAATAGCCTCTGCTGTTTGGAGCATGCGGTGCTTCGATGATTTTGGCAATTTATTAGGCATCCGGTAGATGATGGAGAAGGATTCTTCAACGCTGGCTGGTTTTGTGGCCGGTTTGCACCAGATGGTCCAATATCGAACTGATAAATAATTGTCTATTGTAGATCAAATGGATGACTAGCTCCTTTCTTATTTGTCGCCGATATAGCTAGCTGAATACATAATTCACTTACTTTAGACAACACGGAGGAAATGTAAGTGTATAGTATATACGCCTAATAATAGATAACCAATGCAACATTTAGAAGACAAAGATATTATCAAAGTCTAAACAGCGTAAACAACAGCTTCATTTTAAATAGGTCAGAAATTAATGAGATAGCGCGAATCTAAGATAGTCGCTCATCAATGATTGATTATCGGCGTAATTCTCACATTATTATTCACAAACAGAACTCGCCCACAGAATCAAATTTGCAATTCACACTGTTCGAGGGGGAATTTAACCCCCCACCCCCCAAAACTCTTCCCTTGGAAACCGAAATTATTCAGATCGCAGTAAATAAATGCGTTTGGCTTGATACCATAAATGACACTCAAGGGAACAAACATGATGGCATATACTACTCACCGGTCGAAATGAGTAGTTGAATATATATATTTTAATTACAGCTTGACTCCACACAGTATTTTTGGTACAAGTATGGAATTTTCAGCATGCGATATCGGTAGACCAAATTTTGCATGCCGATCATTGATATCAGGTGTACGTCGTCAAGGGATCGAACCCCGGACCATGTTCATGGTCGGTGAGAGTTCTAACCACTGTGCCACCGACGCACTTGGACTGATTCGGCTCTCTGAGCTGAGTCAAACCGACTGCAAACAAGCGAAGTGACCGTCCGGTGTTTGGGTCACTCCGATCTAGCTGCTTAGCAATCACTACTGGTTGATGTGAGAGTGGTATCCAACTACTCAAATCGATCAGTCAGTAGTATATAGTATCCTACAAAGCATTCACTCATCATCGGCTGAAGATTGTGTACCGAAAAATAACCACTTATCAATACTACTTTTTATTCCTTCGCGATTATGAACATACAACTAAGCCTGCAGCTTTTAAGTATATCTAGCCGTGGTGTTTTTTCTCTGGGGTGGGGTGGGGTCCCTAGCCTCATGCCAAACATTCCCTTTTTTTTTACCGGGCTTACTACCGACAAGATAAGGTTTAGGAATGCGTTGACCAGGAATCGAACGAACCACGTGCGCGTGGATGCCTAGCGTTATATACCATTGAGCCACTAACGCATTATCAATGCTATTCAGCTTCCGTAAACTAAATCAACAACGCATGACTGTTAATCATTGTGACAAAATATAAAAAAAGTCAACATGTAGGACACAATTGATTCAAAAGTATTAATTCCCTCTTTTAGTAAGCATATATATCACAAGTGATAAGAAGAGAAGCTGTTTAAATAAGTTCACGAATCTTTGAAATATATATAAATATATATAAGTTGAATAAATAAAAACAGACGTAAAAACCTTTTCCCATATGTGTAAAACACTTTCCCACATTTAAAAAAAATTCTTGTTTGACACGGAAAAGTTGAGAAATAATATCATATTATATTATTAAAAATCATGCGTCAATGCGCTTCAAAAAAAAGTTTCCAGGTCGATAAAAAAAACCAGCTGTTGCTCAGAATAAATATGTCCAGGAAAGACTGGAAATATATTGCATAGGAAATATAAATAAGTAAATTTAAAAGCAGTTTAGATGCCTGATTCCGATGTCATATTATTTGACGGTGATTGTTGACGTTGTTGCTCACGCATAGTTTCACGTTCAAGTATCTAGTTAGTTAGTTATATAGAGAGAAAGAGAAAGATGGATAATTAATTAGAGAACACAATTTAAACAAAATAATACGGTATTTTCAAGAATTTCTCATCACACTTTACGTAATTAGGTAGGTAGTTTTTTTTGAATTCATTGCTAACGTGAATGATATCAATGTAAATGGGAAGCAAACGCTATGCTTAGATGTATCATCACTGTTCACCAATGTACCACCTATGGAGACTGTGGAATTCATATGCCAACAGATACTAGAAAAACAGTTCGACATCGGAATTCCAGTTATTAGTCTGAAAGAGTTGCTTTTAAGATGTACTATGAATGTACACTTCACATTCAACAACCTTTATTACAGACAAATCGACGGTATTGCCATGGGTTCTCCATTGGGTCCAATTTTGGCAGATTTCTTTCTTGCTAAGCTTGAAAATGGTCCATTGAAACAAGTAATAGATAAAACTGATTCTTATTTTCGTTATGTTAATGATACGTTTATTATTCTTGATGTGAAAGCTGACAAGAATGAAATGTTAATAAAATTTAATGATGCACATCCATCGCTCATCTTCACTTGTGAAGAAGAACATGATGGTAGACTACATTTCCTTGACGTCCAGTTGAGCAGAAGAGAAGATGGTTCACTCAAGAGAGATGTCTATAGAAAACCTACATCTGTAGGACAATATACACATTTCCTCAGTTTTGTACCAATCCGATACAAAATCAATTTGGTCAGATGCCTTACGAATAGAGCAAGACGTATTTGTACAGATGACTCCCTAGAAAATGAGCTAGGATATATCCAAAATACGCTGGTCCAAATGGGTTATCCTAGTAGATTTGTTAGGAGACACATGAACACCAGGTACAACAAAGAGAAACTGACAACAGTTAAAAAGAAACAACTGTTCATGAAACTTCAATTTAATGGGGACGTGGCTAGTGAAGTCTTACATCTGAGATTATCGAGAGCGATAAAACGGACTTATACTGCCGCCACCCTTTGTTTGTCATTTTCCAGCCGACCAATTTTGATTGCTCAAGTGAAAGATAAGCTACCTAGCTGTGCCACTTCGATGTGTATCTATAAATTTAGTTGCTCCTGTGGAGAAAGCTATATAGGGCGAACAACTAGACAGCTTAACAAACGCATTAATGAGCATCTTCCTTCATGGTTCGGAAAAGGTCAAATAAAATCCATACGAAGTTCTATTTTGGCTCATTTGATTGATAGCGGTCACCAAGTGGACAAAAATAGTGCCTTCAAAGTTATCTATCGCATTCCATCGAGCCTTTCGAACGGAATTCGAACCCGCCTTTTACACATAGCCGAAGCTATGGGAATTAATTCGAGAGAACAATCCTAGTCTTTGCATACAATAAAAGAAGTTTGTTCTACCTTTGTCTCTCCCTTGGCCTAGGTGAATTCTAATCAAAACCCTCCCACCCTTTCTTATTTTCCATTTCCTTCGTACTTTTATGATATTTATTTAAACTCTGATTATCTGTCCACTTCACCTACTTTAGTATTACGTAACTTTTAAGATTTGACCTAATTTATTTATTGAATTGTCTACATATACACATATTACTACCTTTGTTATTCTTATCGCCACCTGTATAAACCTTATTATCAATATTTTGTTATCATTATAATCATCGTTATTACTGACGTTCAAAACATTTACCACATTATTATTATTATTTGATCCACAAAATCACCGTCATTGGTTAAAATTTTTTATGTATAAATCTATGTAAATTAGAGTAAAGCCTGAAGAAGATCTAATTGAAAACAACAATATTGTTCGCTTATATGTCTTGTTTTAATATTAAAAATGGGAATATTTAAACATTAGGTAGTAACCAACGGTGTAGACTGAATTCTATCAGTAACTCCATATTAGTTTGTTTGAAACTCAAGTTTCAAAGTCGTGTGATTATAATTGATGAAATGATTATGAACAATAAATTTTGTTCATCCAGTAAATGATACTGTTTCTCTGACTGTGTGATACATCTAATAAACAAACTAATATGGAATTACTTACTACCACAGTGCTCAAGTTTTACACATATATTAATATGAATTCTATAAGCCAAATTTGCGTTGTAATCACCACCATGTGCTAGGTAACTCGCCAATGTGGCGCACTTTGAATCGGCAAGAATCCTAGGTGCCTAAGTTTCGTGCTGGTTGGCACTTGTCAGCGAGGTGTATCTGGAATCTGGAAGGAACTCATAGTCCACATTTGATACCAATGTATTCGATGCAGCAGCGTAATATGCCTATACAACAGTTAAATATGCTACGAGAATCTATGATGTTAATCGACTTTAGTAACAAATGCTGTTCTTTTAGATATATTTCTGGATACCTTAGAGACATCTATGAATGATGCAAAATGTGAGTGAATTGTTTATTTAAGTCAAGAGTGATTAGAATATAAATGTTTAGAGTCAACTGCATATAAATAAATTCCAGTTATCAATCAATATATGAGTCTTAAATTTCTAAGCTCAATATAACTGACTTTAGCGACTTAGGGATTGATTTGTTACCAGGGTACAGTCTTGTAGACTTAGAGTGACGAAATTCAGTCTTCTGAACACATTGAGGAGAGACCTTCGAATGTTTGACATGTGATCCGCCCCTGTCAAACGGAAGATGATGCTACAGGGCTGATCAGGACCGAATACTAGTTGAAAGGCAGGCAGTGAAGTGGTTGAGCATGTTGACCACTTTACTTATTTGGGAAGTTGCATCAATCCTAACGGACTGATTGCTGAAGAAGTCTCAGCACGGATATAAAAGGCTCGTGTGGCATTTGCCAACTTACATTATCTCTGGCTTAATAGACGTGACATCCGACTACCGACCAAATAACGTGTGCACATTGTGCAGCAGTTCGCTCAGTCCTCCTATGTGTCTGTGAGACATGGTCATTGAAAGTGGGAGACCTGAAGAGGCTGTCTTCGACCAAAAGTGTTTGCGTCCTACCTCTCGTGTAAAGTGGTATAATATGTTGAATAATATTCAGGTTGAGCGTAGATTGGAAGGGAAGTCAATCGGTGACGTTGTGAAGCTACATCGATTAAAATGGCTGGGTTGCGTATTACGCATGCTGCTGAGCCATTGCCTTCCTCGCCAACTGTTAGCTAACATAGGACTAGGGTGAAAAAGGGTTGCGCGGGGGGGGGCGGAATCAATCCATAGAGTCTCTAACCGTTGGTATGAGCCACATACATATATAGGTGTAGACTGCCTTGTTGGGGTTCTCGAGATTCTAAGAACCAATGGCTGGACACTATCGGTAATGTATTTCAAGATTGTTCTTACTGACACAGATGTCTTCACTCTTTGTAGTCTCTCTTTCTGATTCATTAAATCCTTATTTTTGTTTTGCATATTCCAGTTAAATGAGTTTTAACTATGAAATAAACAGTCAGAAGCAGTATTCTCTATCTCAACTTCATCGACTTTGAAAAGGCATTCGACAGCGTCGATCGAGAGGTGATTTGACAACTAATTCGCTACTACGAGGTGCCACCGACAATTATACATCTCATCCAACAGCTGTACGACAATGCTGCATGCCAAGTAATCCACAATGGGAAACTTACGGAATCCTTCGAAGTGAGGACAGGAGTAAGACAAGGCTGCCTACTATCGCCAATGATTTTCCTGATTGCAGTAGATTGGATAATGCGACAAACAGCGGGCAATGAGGAAACAGGCATTTAATGGACTCATACAAAAACTTGGAGGATCTGGATTTCGCCCATGATGATATGTGTCTGATATCCCACAAACTGGAAGATATGCAAGTGAAAAGCAACAAGTTGACAGAAGAAGCACCAAAGATAGGACTTTAGGTGAACATAGAGAAAACAGAGGTGATGAAGATTCCTGGCCAACAGCAACAACAACAGACAACAATCAGCATAAATGGGAGAAACCTGGAAGAAACAACTTCCTTTACCTACCTGGGAAGCATCGTTTCAACTACAGGCGTACGGAACTGACGAGGATATCAAAGCAAGGATCGGGAAATCAAGACAAGCTTTCATTTCTCTCAATTCTGTATGGAGGTCAACAGCACTCAGCATGAAAAATAAGATCCGGATTTTCAACTCCAATGTGAAGTTAGTGCTACTCACTATACGGATTAGAGACTTGGCGCGTCATGAAGAGCACATCGAACAAACTACAGACCTTCATCAACAGCTGTCTTCGCTCAATACTCAAGATCAGATGGCCGGCCAGAAAAGATCAGCAACAGGGATCTCTGGCAATGAGCGAACCAACCAGGAACTGATTGTGAAACAAATAGGCAGGAAGAAATGGAGATGGATTGGCCATACTCTGAGAAAACAAACCATCAAGTGACATCACTAGACAAGCCATCGCTCGAGTAGAACCCGAAAGGGAAGCGGCGAGTTGGTCTTCCAAGGGTGACATGGAGGAGGTCATGTGAAGAGGAGATGAAAGCATGTGGGCAGACTTGGAGCCAGGTGAAAACGCAATGGAGACGCACGGCTAAAGCCCTATGTTCCTCTAGGAATTAAAGGAAACAATAATAATAATTCATAAATGTGATTAGCTTTAATCAACTATAAAATCACCTTGAGAGCCTCTCGTCTTCGATGTTCCAGTTTAGCTATCTGGTGGACAACAGAAGTAGGCGTGTGCGGAATAAGTGCACTAATCGTAGCACGAGTAATTATGATTGCATGCTATCGATAAAAAAACACAAATTAAAATTAAAAAAAAACAATAAACAAGTGAACTATTGTAATACTAGAATGAGAAATCAGATAGCATATAGCGTGAAAAAAGGTCAATTTGTGCACAAATATAACACAAAATAATAATCATGGCTTTATTTTTTAAACAGTACATTTGATACAGTGTGTAATTCTCAGTATATACTACAAAATTGGATCTAATTCTCTCTTCCGATTACATAGTGAGTGGAAACATGATTGCAGAAGGATATTTTTGACATTTACAATAATAATAATGGCAGTGTGGTGAGTGCTACTTATAATCCGATTTAAGTAGTATGTCAGAAAGCGAATTCAGAAGAGTAACAATATGTTTTGCACACTGGAAAAGAGTGATCAAAGAAGAGAACCATGAGAAGAATGTTGCCATATGATGCAGAATCCAAGAAGCTATCGAATGTGACGATATTTGACCAATTCGCCAAGGATGTGGTAAATGATGTGCAAACGGCAGTTTGAAAATATAGTATACCAAATTTACCTTTGTACAATACGTTTCACCAAATAAACATTCCTTTCAGCCTCATCGATCTTTTCTTCTTTACAGCAGTAATACATAAATGTAAATTATAAATTATCGGAAATAAGGACAGCAATATATTTATGATTGACAGTATAAAGAGGTACGTTTACTTAGTGTTTCACATCTAACAGATCTTTTCATCACATAAAATGCATGCCAAATAAGGTATTTTGTGGAATCATAAAGTGTTTCACATGATTGCTTCCTGTCCAATCTGAGGAGATGCAAGGAGACAGTCGCTTCTAAAGAAGCTGCTAAAAGTCTGGCAGGATGACTTTGCCAGTTTCTCGCATGAATACAAGTCTGTCTACAACGATGTTAACCAGTTGTCTTAGGGGCACACACCGCTCACCCTACAGACAGCTTTTAGTGTTCTTCACAATATAACAAGTATTCCAGAAAAGATAGACGGGGAGCAGTAAAGAAGAACAGGTAGAATACAAGAATTAACAAACTATAAAACTAGGAGTTGAATGATATCAGGTTGTCTCAACTTATTTACATAGAAGGTTAGACCAGAGGAAAGCTTCCGTCCCCGATATTTAATAGTCGACTTAGTTTCAACTTTCGCAGCACATGTCCAAGCCACCAAAGCCGGTGTTGCCATCTGGCAACACTCAATGAATGGTAATGTTCACTGTATATACACACTGCCAGGCCCCAGAAATACCCGAACGATAATGCCATTAAACTCAAGTAATTATACAGAGATAGCGATGATCGAGAACGTAGAGTCGCTGCACATCCTTAGCTCGGAAAGGCCAGGTTTCACAGAGGTAGAGCACCAAAGCATTGTAAACCTGACAGCCAGGCTGACGTCGCGACGGCTCCAGAGACAGCCCAAATTGGCGTACGCCACCCTAGCTTTCACTATACGGTTATAGATCTCGTCCGTCACACCTTTGCAAGCATTCACACAACTACTCCGATACACGGACTTATCGACAACTTTAGTAGGCTCACTTGCAAAGGTGAGTGCAGGTACAGGCTCCTGCCAATGCTGCAACAGTACTTTGCACTCAGACGGCTCAAAGCACATAAAATCTTGAAAAAGAGCCAAGAGTAGGTTGTTTGGGCCGGATACCTTAAAGCTTCTCAGCACTTGAAGATTCTTTCGGATCTCCGCTTTGTATGGTGGATCGGTATTAACCGACCATAGAGCTATGTAGTTGATGTTGGATGCTGGCACTGTTCGCCGGTTAAAATGCTTCTCCAGGTTCTCTGCCTAGCGTTCCAGGCGTCCTTTCAGGCTGGTAATTGGCGTACCACTGGCATTACAGACCGTCTCGCTGACACCATGACTCTTGCTGCCGGTGGCTCGTTGAGCTGGAACAGCTTGCAGTTGTTGCCAGATGCAGCTGGTGCTCCTATCTAAAGCGCACATTTTGACCACCAGGCTTTGCGGACCTTACGTAAATACTGTTTAATCTTGTGCGGAAGCGCCTTCAATTGTCTGCCAGAATGGAATGGCACTCATCCGGAAGTTGCAAGGAACTCGCAGCAACCCAGTGATTTCTAGCAGAGTATTCTAATAAGCCACAAGCAAATTCACTCCCCGTTTGCATAACCCTTTGCAGTCGTAGCTACTGTTCATCTATAATATTTGTAGGGTTGCCATCTAGTCCTGATTTTAACTCATTCTCGTACTTAGCAGAGGTAGCCAGTGCTGTGTGCATCCACCCCATAGGAGGCTGACTGTAGTGTGATCAATCTGAGTCCGGGTTTGATTGATGGAGGGAGGACGCCAGGTGGCGCTACGCTGATGGCTGTACTGAAAGTTACTGCTTGGCAGAAATAGGTTGTGAACTGCCTAAAGATGCAGAACATAGTCTCCACTATCTGACCTGCGATCAAGTAGGTTCCACTGACCGCCTAGGTAACTCTCATCTGAGTTTAGAAGCCCGAACTGTGCATTCAAGTCCCCAGCTAGCACTGCGATATTTTCAATAGTTGGTTTGTAAGGATTAGATTTGTTTTTACGAATTGATCACAGATTGATATCAGTTAGAGAACCATTGAAAACCAGGGAGTACTTGACAGCTGTTTCATCCTAGTTTGGGAATCATCCACCACCAAGGTTCGAGCCCAGGACCTTCCGGTTACAAGGCAAACTCGTAACCAGTGGGGTCCACCCAGTCAAGTGTGAGGATGGATGTCCCACCGATGAAATTGGTTGGTGGTCGCGTTAAATCACGAATTGGTAGAAGTTAGAATTCATGGGCCATTGAATCGGGTACCAGTGGCTGAATGGGTGAAACAGCTGTCCAGTACTCCCTGGTTTTCAATGGTTCTCTAACTACGATATTTCTCTGACGTGCCTGCTTCAGAAGCTCGCTCAGATGATAGTAAAACTCATCCTATGTAGTTCAGAGACTGGACATGTCACCTAAAGGCCACTGCAGACCTGTCTTCGCTAAACATTGAAGATCAGGTGGCTGGACGGAAAGGATAAACAACAATGGACTAAGAACCTATTGCCTAACAATTATGCCAAGGGAATGCAGATGGATTGGACATACGCTGATGAAACCCCTCTAAGTGACATACCGCGCCATGGAGCGTAACATGAAGGAGGCCATGTGAGGAGGAAATGAAAGCTTACGGTAAATCTTGCAGTGAGTTCAAAAAGGCTGCCGAGAAAACAGTGAAATTCAAATGTGCTGACTGAGGCCCTATATTCTACCCAGAATTCGAGGGAATAATAATAATAGAGCAGATGTTTGTTCAATTAACAGACCAAAATACATAATGTATTTCTACAATAAATTCTCACATTTGAAGAATTTACTATCCTTAATGAAAATCATTAGAAAACACATTGACAATGCAATACAGTTAGACGACAAAAGTGCTCTCCAAAAAGCGATAACGTGTCACTCAATGATATGATAATGACATTAGAGAAGTAAAAAAAAGAAACACCACAGAGCACTCGAACTAATTGATACTCTCTAAATACTCTTCACACAAAGTGCTAACTGCTTACACGTTACATAAATGTTTTATAAATGACTTAAAACATGAAAACATAAGTATCCCAATAATAAAAAAAGTGCAAAAGTAAAATAATCACTCAGAAATGTAATCAGTCTAAATAGAGTCACCACTGGGTGCACTGAGATCAAGCAGACAAACAGAATCATTAAAAAGTGTTGATTCGAGAAGGCGCATGTTTTAAAAGAGCAGTATACGTCCGTATGTATTGGAAGTGTTGTAAACTTGACGTTTGATAGGTAGATAAAATTTGTAACGGAGGAGTGAATGTCTCCACGCATAGTGTACACCGTTTTGGCTTCAGTTAAACAATTAAATACCTTGCTTTTATTGACGCCTACAAGGCATTTAATTTCTACTGACAAGGAATTCAAAGATAACATTCAAGATCAAACATAGTGTGCATATATCAGTTCACATTTTCCTGTGGAGCTGGGTATATTAGTCGTTCGACGCGCATCCTGGCTAAAAGGGTTCAAGAATACCATCAAACGTGGGTGTAGAAAGGTAGCAGCGTCTTTATAAGGAGTGTGGTAATCGAAAACCTTGTCAACACTGGTCATTCCATCTCAACAAACGCCTCCTTCAAAGTAATCAACAAAGACAATACGCTTTTATCTCCTTTGCATTGCAGAAGCTCTGGCCATTCAAGGCAGAGAAACGGGAGTTGTGCGCACAAAAGAGAATTATTCAACCACTTCGACTATTCTGGTAACAACCTTGTTGTTTTCCAATAACCTGATTTTGTTTCTATTGTCTTTCACCTTTAGGCAAATCTCGTGATTACAACTCATTCATTAGATTATTAGTATTGTTATTACGTAACACTAACACACTTATTCAAATTTTCTTAAGCTCCGACTAATATTAACAATTATCATTACGACAACTCACTACTTTTGTTGCTACCCTCTTTCATGCGGAAAATTCTATAAAAATGCGACTGTACAGTTAAAAAAAATAAATTTGCTGAAAAGAGTCTCTTTGTTGAACTACCTGTTTTGTTCTTTTCATTAATTTTAAAAATCCCACACTTATTGATAAGGTTTATATACTGCATATCTGTTCTGTCTCTGTCTGTTTTCGACATAGAACCTAGCACCGATGTGCAGCAGTTCAAGTTGCCACACTCCATGTAGCACACAAAGCAAGAGAAGAAATGCATAATAGGGACAGTAAACAGAGGTATGAGGCAAAAAGAATAGTAATATCAAAGAACAATATAGTTTCATTTGAAATCATAAGTCACAAGGAGTGGATGCATCTGCGTCAGCCATTGAGAACGATTTTGAGCCATATCACCAATTGTTTCCAGCCAGTGGTTTATTGTACCGTCCCGAGGACCCCAACCAGGAAGTCTACACCTTCCTATGTGGTTCAAACTAGCTGTTGTGGATTTCGTTGACTGGCGCCATGTTTTGGTTTGATCACCGCCAGTTCCTTTCCAGCCTGATCCTATGTCAGCTAACATTGCCCGTTGTCGAGGAAGGCGATGATTAGGCATGTCCTAACCATCTGAATCGGTGTAGCTTCATAGCCTAATCGATTGATTTCCCCTCCTTACCTAACATTCGACGCCTAACCACAATATTGCTCACCTTATCATACCACTTCGCACGGGAGATAGACCGCAGGCACCCATAATCGAAGACAGCGAATCTTATCATGTCTTCCATTATCAGGGGCCAGGTTTCACAGCCATGAAGGAGGACAGAGAGGACTGATGAGCAGTACACACGTCCTTTGGTCGATAGTCGGATATCACGTCTACGCCAGAGACGGCGTAAACTGGTATATGAGAAACGAACCTTCTGTATACGTGCTGAGATTTCGTCAATGATCAACCTTTTGGCACTGGCTGATGGTACTTCCCAAATAAGTGAAGTCGTCAACACTTTCTACCACTTCACTCCCTATTTCTAAGCTAGGAATCAGTGTAGTGTGCTGCGCATACTAAACCACCACCTCCTTCGACACATGTTAACATCGGATTAGGATGCAACCAATCCATGAAGTCTTTGATTGTTGGCTTGAGCCATGTAGGGATATTTAGAATGCCTGGTTGGGCTCCTCAAGATGTTGGGGGCAACTGGCTTGAGACTACTGGTGTATGAAATGGCTCAGAATTCTTTTTTCAATGACGCAGATCCACTGATTCTTTGTAATCTCCCAGATTAATTAAACTTTCAGTTTTTTTCCCCATGTTACTATTCTTTCTCCTGCACATTTCTACTTATTATAGTTCTTTTGATCTTCTTTATTTTTTCTCGTTCTTTTCTCTGCCTTTGTGTGCTACATTGGAGTGTAGCAAATTGAACTTCTGTGTTTTGTTGAAACTTAGTCAATCAGTTAAGAATAACTCATTAAAAAAAGTGTATTATGAGTATATTTTACTTACTTCAATAAGAACCAATAATATGATCAAATGTGAAGTAGACAGATTCGGGAAGAGACGTTGTGCAGTTCCCGAAATCCCAAGTAGTGCTACATTCACGATAACAGCGATATAACTGACCACATCTAGTGCAAGCTAAAAAGGGCAAAGGTGGACAGAAGAGGAAAGAAATATCAATTATTACAGTATATAGGTTTATAACAGAGATCAATAAGTGAGATTATGAAACATCGAAACTACTAAGTCACTGAATAGTGCTGTAGAAGATTTGTGGTTCAGTTAGATGATGGTGGGGAGTAGTTGTGTTCTCTGATTTTGGATGGTTTAATTGTCTCCCTGGACAACATCTTCAGAGCTGATAGTTTTTTGAAGTATTAGGGCAATAAGGAGTTTAACATTCCGGTTCTCAACGTGAGAGGAGCCAAATGGTGGCACCATCAAGTAGACTGTCCAAAGAGAAAAATAATTCTGGAATGAACCATAACTTCATTTACAATAGTTTTATCTTTTCAGTTATAATTGTGGACTAGTAAGGACACTATACAGCGGAGTCTGATGGGAAACTATGTTCACTCAAAAAGTTACAAGGAGAACTGAGTGTATCTCGGAGGCATTAGTTATCAGAAGAGATTCACTTTGACGTATGGAAAGAAGTAAGCTGAAAATAAACTAAACACCCAACTGTTGGAGGAAACGAAATTGCTATTTCTCTTCAATTCAAGCGAGGCTAAAGGGACAGAGAAATAGCCCTCAATATTGTTAAACTTGTATCATTAAACAACCCCACACTATATTGTCATTCCTTTGGGTTTCAAGTGGCGCATAAGGCTTCGGTAGCACATTTGCGTTTCACTGAAGTCCTTTTCAGCCATTTCCATAGTTTTCCGACAACTATGGAAATGGCTGAAAAGGACTTCAGTGAAACGCAAATGTGCTACCGAAGCCTTATGCGCCACTTGAAACCCAAAGGAATGACAATATAGTGTGGGGTTGTTTAATGATACAAGTTTGACAATATTGAGGGCTATTTCTCTGTCCCTTTAGCCTCGCTTGAATTGAAGAGAAATAGCAATTTCGTTTCCTCCAACAGTCGGGTGTTCAGTTTATTTTCAGCCTACTTCTTTCCATACGTCAAGGTGAATCTCTTCTGACATTTCCATTTCCATAGTTGTCGCCCGACCGATAACTGCTACCTTGCCGTGGTGGTCGGGCTTGAATGCCGCAGTGACCCAACAAGCTAAACTGGCTGGGACTCATGTCCCTGCAGGTCCTACCATGTCAGGAAGGTTGTTTGGATAGCGGTTAGACTAAAAGCAGTTACAATGGGGTACATGGGCTCCAGTTTCCAATTGGATCGAATGGCGTATGAACCCATATGGGTCACCGGCAACCATGGGAATGCAGCTCCTGACGCTGCTCCGCTGCCTTGCGGATTAGACTCCAAGTCAAAGGCTCGGGGGGTGGTCCCTTAATAAAACCACCTGCTTCGGTCTGGGCGCCCGGGCAGTATCTCAGCCCGCACACAATGAATGAATTGAAGCAACGAACTCTCATTGAAACTCAACGCGCGCTAGTAAAAAATGATTCCAAGCAATATTGATCCCTCAAGCAACTTATTTCCTTCCTATCTTACTTTTATTTTTACACATAGTTTCCTGTATTTTACCTTTGCTAACCTTGGCTTCTTAACCTTCGACAGCCTTTCGCCTTTGTCGAGATTGCCAGCCTATCCGTGTCGTTTCGAGATGTTAGTGAGTAACCCTCAAAATGGTTGTCCCCAATGTGACATCTAACACAGATATCCTGAAACCGCGTGCCGCGTTCAAGCTGGCCACCTACAATGTTCGGACGCTGATGCAAATCGGACAACAGGCAGGGTTGGTAAGAACTTCGGAAAGCCTCGCTATCGATGTCTGCTGCATTTCGGAGACCCGCATTCAAGATCCCAGTGAAGTGCTTCGACTATCCTCTCCATCTGGAAGTTCTAGTAGTATGTACCACCTGCGCTTATCCGGGGACCCTGTGGCATCGGCATCCGGCGTAGCTGGTGTCGGTGTCGCACTGAGCGCTAGAGCCGAAGCTGCACTGCTCGACTGGATTCCCATTAACAGTCGTTTATGTGCTGTGAGGCTGGAAGGATATACGAAAGTAAGGAGTAGTAGGCCAGATAGGCGGTGTCTATTTGTTGTCTCTGCCTATGCACCGACGGATCGCAGCCCGGATGCAATGAAGGATGAGTTTTACTACCAACTGAGCGATCTGTTGAAACAGGCGGGTCGGAGGGATATCGTAGTGCTAGCTGTGGACTTGAATGCACAGGTCGGGCGTCTAAGCTCAGAGGAAAGTCGTCTAGGTGGTCAGTGGGGACTACATGGTCGCAGGTCAGATAGTGGGGACCATCTTCTGCAGCTTTGCGCGGATCACAACCTATTTCTAGCCAGCACCAACTTCCGGCACAGCCATCGCCGTAGCGCTACCTGGCGTCCCCCCTCTGCGAAGCAAGCTTGGACTCAGATTGATCATATTGCGGTCAGTTTCCGGTGGCGAGGATGCATACAAGACTGTCGCTCCTTCTGGAGCACATGCCTGGACTCCGATCATGCGTTAGTGTGTGCCAAGTTCGTCTTGCGATTTGGTGGGATTCGTAAAAACCGTCGTCTAAACGTTGATGTGAGCAAACTAGTAGCACCTGCTACTTCTTTGAAATATCAGAATGAGTTGAAAACAATGCTTGCCAGCAACCCCCCAAGTAGTATAGATGAACACTGGCTTCATGTGCAAGGTGCCATGCAAAAGGCGAGTGTAGCCGCTTGCGGCTTGAAAGAATGCTCCGCCAAAAACCACTGGGTTTCTGCGAGTTCCTTGCAACTCCTGGATGAACGCCGGTCCATTCCGGCTGGCAGTGAATACAACAATCAGCGAAAGGCGCTCACGCGCAAGATTAGACAGTGTTTACGTAAGGACCGCGAAGCCTGGTGGTCAGAACGTCCGTATGAGATGGAGTCAGCTGCTGCATCTGGCAACAGTCGGAAGCTGTTCCAACTCATACGAGCCACCGGCAGCAAGAAACAAGGTGTCAGCGAGACGGTCTGTGAGGCAGATGGCACTCCAATTACCAGCCTGAAGAGACGCCTGGAACGCTGGGCAGAGCACTTCGGGAAGCAGTTCAGCTGGCCACCAGCTTCATTGTCTACTATCATTAGCCCGAGTGCTCCTTGGTCGGTTAGTACCGACCCACCCACCGAAGCGGAGGTCCGTAAGGAACTCCAAGTTCTGAAACGCCATAAGGCGCCCGGCCCAGACAAATTACCCCCGGCTCTTTTTAAAGAGGGTGGCGAGACTCTCATAATGGCTCTAACTGGGTTGTTCAGGAGGGTGTGGGAGACAGAGAGCGTACCATCAATGTGGAACGAAGCCATTATCGTCCCCATCTTTAAAAAGGGTCGACGTAATTCGTGTGACAACCATAGGGGTATCAGTCTGTTACCAGTTGCGTCTAAAATATTGGCTGCTGTCATGCTTCGCAGACTGTGCAAAATACGTGAAGGATTGATTCGCGAAGAGCAGGCTGGGTTTCGTTCAGGTCGTGGATGCATTGATCATGTGTTCACCCTTCGTCAGTTGTTGGAACACCGCCACACGTATTGCAGGCCAACGATCGTTGTGTTTCTTGATATTAGGGCTGCCTTCGATTCGTTGGACAGAACTGTGCTCTGGAACTGTTTCTTAGAGAGAGGTGTACCTGAGAAATTTGTTAACATCTTGAAAGCCCTATATAGAAACACCTCAGGTAGAGTGAGGGCATACAACCAACTATCACCACTGTTCCCAACCAACAGTGGGGTTAGACAGGGTTGCCCAATCTCTCCATTTCTCTTTAACTTTGCCATCGATGACATTCTGGAGTCAGCTCTGAAGGATGTGCGTGAAGGTGGTGTAGATCTGCTACCTGGAGATAGACTTTTCGACCTCGAGTATGCAGACGATATCGTCTTACTGTGCGATAGCATGCAGGCTGCCCAAATCGCACTTAATCAGTTGGCGATCAGTGTATGTAAGTATGGTATGTGCTTTGCACCGTCTAATTGCAAAGTACTGTTACAAGATTGGCAGGAGCCTGTACCTGCACTCACTCTTGCAGGTGAACCGCTTGAAGTTGTCGATAAGTTTGTGTACCTAGGTAGTTGTGTGAGTGCTGGCGGAGGGGTGACGGATGAGATTTCCAACCGAATAATGAAAGCTAGGGTGGCATACATCAACTTGAGCCACCTCTGGCGCCGTCGCGACGTTAGCCTGGCTGTCAAAGGACGGGTATACAATGCTTCGGTGTGGGCTGCGCTGCTCTACGCCTGTGAAACCTGGCCTCTCCGAGCTGAGGATGTGAGGCGACTCTGCGTGTTCGATCATCGCTGTCTCCGCAGGATTGCTTGCGTTCGATGGCATCATCGCGTGAGTAATTCTGAGGTTCGGCGGCGTGTGTTTGAACACAGTGGAGATCACCATTCATTGAATGTCGTCATCTGGAAACACCGGCTCCGGTGGCTTGGACATGTGCTGCGAATGTCACCCCAGAGGCTTCCGTACAGGTCTCTGTTCGCTAGCCCTGGGACGGGATGGAAAAGGCGGAGAGGTGGTCAGCCCATGACGTGGCGTCGTGGGATGAAGGATTTCTGTGCTAGATTAGCATCGGTTGGTGTGTCACGACTCCCTGGTTGGGGTCTGAGAGATAGCTCAAATCGATGGCTCGAAACGTTATCGGATATGGCCAAGAATCGTAATCAATGGCGAATGTGTTGCGATTTCCTTCTTTCTTCCATTCCCGATGATAGTTAACGAACACTGTTTGAACCTGTTAAGAATGAGTGTTTTCCTTCCAGATGAAGTTCTTTATTCGTTCTCTACTTATATATATATTTTTTCTTTTCCTGCCTTCCTTCCTTTTTTTTTCATCTATGTTGTTTTATTATTATTGTGTGGCGCATCCTTCTTGGTGCCATATTGTACCAAGTTCTAATGCGTTTAAATAAATAAATAAATAATAATAGTTGTCGGCAAGCTTTGATTCCCCCCGTTCAAACTACCTCTCTTCCACATCAGCCTCGGACCCACGCCCAACTCGTCTTTTACGATTCAGCTGTCCAATCTAAGGCCTGGTGTGTGGTGTGTGTGATTCAATGGTCTTTTCAATAGGTGTGCAATCCATCTCCATTTTATTCAGCGTATTCGTTAGATAATAGGTTCTCGTTTCTTATCCTTTCTGACCTTCAGTATGGAGCCGGTTGCTGATGAAATTCTGGAGCAGCCTGTTGGAAATGCTTCAGGTGACTCACTGATTTGACAGTGATGTTGAAAGCTCGGATCTTGTTCCTTATGCTGGGTGCAGTAGATTCCCACACTTGCTTTTCTGGTCCTGTCTTTGATATCCCCATCTGTGCTGTCTGTAATTAAAACGACACTGCCTTGGTAGATGAAAGAGGTAACTTCCTTGAAATTTCTTCCGCCTATAGTGTATCCCCTGATGCTATGCTGTTCGGTGTGAAGCATACACTTATCCCTTATAGCATGTTTCTTCCGTCTCTAAGATATGCACACCGAGAAATCAAGGTAATCAGAAGAAATGAACACCGTAGAGCATCTGTTCGACCACCGATAAATCCAACTGAACTAGAAAAGCTTGAAAACTCATCAGTCATAGATCTAAAGGCTATAGAATCAGGTCACCAAAGTGATTTTGACAATATCGAAATAATCCAGAAATCACAAAGAACGTCAGTATCATCGGAAGCACTTCGTATCAAATGGAATCTAAATCGCCTGAACAGGACAAAATCAACATACTTGTGATAAGCAATTTCATTATGTAAACACATGCTGCTTTTATAATTTTGGACGCCTATATCAAATCCCACAATCTACGCATGGTTTTGTTATCTTTATTGATTGACAACGTAAAAATTACCCCATGCTGATGAACAGTAATTAGGTCGTTATGTATTAGCTGAGCGGATTTTGTAAATTCTGGTTTAATACTACTACTTTGATAAAGTCATTATCATTAAATAGAGAAACGTCAGTAAACACAACAATAGCGTTTTGTTTTTCATTGATTGGGAAACACCAAAATCTTTTCTAATAATGAATATCATATATACCCAATGCCCAAAATTTTTCAAATGTTAAAAGTGAACTGGATTTGGACAATATATAATGCACACCGGTAGTTTGAAAGTCAATTAAAAATGTGTGTGAGTACATTTTGCGACTCAAGGGTCTAACTAAATGATTAAAAACAATAGGAATTAAATAAAATATGGTGCATTGTGTTGGATGGATATTCAGGTAACCCAGTGGCTCAAGAAGGTCGGCGACTCACTCCTTGAGACTTAATAGAGGTGACACTAAGAAAACCCAAAACTTTACATTGATTGCATAATTTCCATTCATACATAAATTACTATAGCTTCTACAGAGATATTCTATACACTACTCATATCTGTCTATAAGTAGTGTGTACCATACTGCTATTAATACTACGAACTTCCTAGTTGACTTTTTTCATATGGGATAAAGTTCATTATCAGAAATGAATGTGTGATTCACAAATACAATACGATGGCATGCTTCATATTTGATGTTTATCAGTTCTGAATGTAGATGAAACGTGCTTCTGGATTCCACTGATAGACATCATCAATTAAATTATACCAAACGTTACAGGATTTCATCATGAGCTGACATTGGTTAGAGAACCATTGGAAAACCTGCAGGGAGTACTGGACAGCTGTTTCGTCCTAGTTTGTGACTCTTCATCAGTACGCAGCCACCGGGGTTCGAACTCAGGACCTTCTGGTTACAAGGCGAGCGTTCTCGTAGACCATTAAGCCACTGAGACCCGATCCAATGGCCAGTGCATGAATTCTAACTTCTACCGATTCACGATATAGCGCAACCGCTAGCCAATGTCTTCGGCGAGTATTTGTCCTCACACCTAACCTGCTGCACCCTACTGGTTACGAATTCCCACTGGAACCCCAGGTAACTACCTACCTGATTAGGGCCAGTCGCCAGTGAGCATCTCATTGTTATTCAAGTATTGGTTTGTAGGGATTTAGTTGATTGGTTACAGGATTTCATCATGAGCTGACAATGGTTAGAGAACCATACCAAACGTTATACATAAATAAAGTTTAAAAACATATTAGGCATTTGCAGGAACTTACTTGCCAAACACCAATATTACTTGCAAATTTAGCAAATGGACGTTGATAACTAGTTGATAATTTATAGGCATCACCACGTATCTCGATAAGATTATTCGCAAAAGCCAACAAACCGGCTAATGGGAATATACCGGCAAACATACTCACATAACCAAATTGAATAAACATTTCGAGAAAATCATCAGTTGGATCTTCATACTATAAAAATAATAATAATAATAATAATAATAATAATAACGATTTTCTTTATTCCAAAAACAGTACTTGTGATACAGAATGGAATTTTCAACGTTAATCACAATATTGCATCTAATTTCCTCAAATTATAAATAAAATTAGTCACACAGAAAATTTTTCCACATTTACAATAGGGATAATGTCAAAAAAACATGCAGCATATAAAATGGAAATAATAATAATAATAATAATGATAACAGCTAATGTAATAATAATAATAATACAAGTGAAAATTGCCGTGAGCTTGTTTCACACAGTATTGTCGATGCGGTATACAAATCCTAGCATGTTTAAAAAATATTGAGTATAATGTTCTCTTTACATGATATGGTGAGGGGAAAAACAAAGATTACAGCAGTCATAGAGATAAGTTGGTGTTTGCAATTATGAAAGTAAAACAAAGAAGCAACAGGACCATAAATATAATAGAAATAATAAAAGTAAAACTTGAAGGCATATAAGGATGGATGGAGGAAATTGTTTATTTACTAGATGAAAAAAAATTAGTCAATTCTCACCTGACACTATTTTCATCACATAAATTACGTGCCAAGTATGGTGTCATAGATTTTTTATACTTAGACGTGCGAGCATACAGTTTTCTGAAGTTGCTTCTTGTTCTACCTGAGGAGATGCAAGGTGAAAGCTGAGGGTAAAGTGGATGCTCCAAGTCAGACAAAATCCCTTTAGCAAATTTATTACACGAAGTCAAGTGCCTATCGACGACGACGTTAACTATATTTATATATATTCCTTCACGTTCCCAGTGGAACATACGGCTTCAAGCTAGAGGCTTGAAGTTTCTGTAGCAGTGTTTATTTTTACAGGATGTGGTTGCTAGCCTCATGCCCAACCTTTTCTCTTTACCAGCTTTATTTCTGGCTTAGCGAGGTAAAGGAGTGCGTCGGTCAGGGATCGAACCCCGGACCATGTGCATGGTCAGCGACCGTCCTAACCGCTCTGCCACCGACGCACATATATATATATATATCAGAGAATGATGAAAGTAAAGAGAATATCAATTTTTACGAAAATTCCTACAATACTGATTAGTGTTTCATTTATGAAAATAAATGGAATGTTAGGCAGATATTACGCAATCATATAGACATTATGATTGCAGCTTAGTAAAGCAGTGGCATGTACAAATTTGATACTGCTTCTTCGGATGATATTACCTCGAGTAGACTGCATACAAAACATATAAACTCTGTTTTAATTTGCATACAATTTAATGAAAACAAAACACGTACTTCAGCGAAGAGTCTCTTTTCGGCGGATTCATTTTCTTAGCTGTACAATCGCAAATTTATAGGTGTTATTTTGTATGTATGTGTACATTAAGTTTGTCAAACAAAAAAATAGTTGGTTATAGTTATTTTAACTAAACAGGTGAAGATTGGTAATACAAGTTAAGAAAATAAGATGTTAATGAAATTAGGGTAGTAACAAAGGTGATGAGTTGTCAAAAACAGTTGTTAAAAGGCATTTATGTAATAATATGAATAGTATGATGAGTGAGCTTTACTCAGGATGAACATAGAAACAAAGTAGATAATACGAAATTACGTAAGAGTTCTAAATGAATACAAGAATTATAAGCAATGAAAGAACAGGCAAAGAAACAAAATTAAGTCATCAAAATCAACAAAGTTGTTACAATGACAGTAGAAGTGGTTGAGTAATCCTCTTTTGTATGCACAGCGCCGGTTTTTCTATGTGAATGGCTAGAGCTTCAGTGATACACAGAAGACGAAACCGTATTGCCTTTGATAGGTTATTCTTGACTCTGTAGATTACTTTGAAGGAGGCGTTTGTTGAGATGGAATGATTAGTGTTAACCAGGTGTTCAGTTATCGCACTCCTTATTGCACCACTATTGCCTTTTCGCAACCATGCTGGATAGTGTTTTTGAATCCTCTTGGACAGGGTGCGCGTCGAATAACCGATGTACCTGGCTCCACAGCAGCAGGTGAACTGATTTATGCACATAGAAATGGTGAGATGCGGGATCTTGTCCTTGAGCCTTCTGCAGATCAGTGGGCGACTGGAGAACACTATTCGTAGCGTTGCTGCAAAGAATGTTCTTCTCAGAGATGATGTGATCCTTCTCTTGAGAATATCACTTGTTAAATCTCCCTTGAAATCCAAGTTCATGTAGAGTTTCTTTTTAGGCGCAATTAAAGTTTCGTTTCTCTGAATTATTGGCTTGATAATTTTGTCGATGAATCTTATTGGGTATCCATTTTGGATGAAGATTTCTCTTAGAATATCTAATTCTGTTTCCAGAACGTCATATAAAATTTACAAGTGAAATCGAATCGGATGATCGAACTCTAAACTTTCTCGATTATCTTGTCAAAAGACAAACTGATGGAAAACTAAAGTTCACGATATATATATATATATATATAGGAAACTGGCATATTCAAACGAATATTTGAATTTACTAACCGATCATTCTCAGTAAGCATGAATGTTTCAGTAGCTTTAAATTCCTTAAATAGAGCTAGAAACATTGTAACCGATAGCGATGATATGGAGAGTGCGATTTGCAAAGTAAGGCAGATTTTGACCGAAAATGGTTATCCAGAAAAGTTTCCAAACAAAATTTTCAGTAGAATGGGCGAGAAGGAAAAGAAGATTGAGGAAGATTTGGGTTTCAGCGATAGCCGTTTGACTTTGAAAAGACATGACTGAACAACTTCAAAATATTCTTGCTTCATTTGGGGTCAAAATATTTTTCAAACCCTCTAATTCTTTAGAAACCTCACCTAGTTTTCTAGCGGGTCTCAAACCCGGGTAAAGAGGGAGGTTTAGGCGTGGGGCTAGCAACTCTACACCACAAAACCAATCAAACTGCTACAGAAACTCAAACGCACAAGAAATACATTAAAAATACAAACGATTTGAAAAACAAACTTATTCTTCGCTGGAATCGGAGAGGCGAAATGACACAGCGGGCTGGTGAAAGCCTTCAGGAAACCAGTCAACCGATGTGTCTTCTCTCGATGAAAGCAAGCAAGAATAAGGATGGGGACGTCGAATGTAAGTGAAATGTACGAGACTAGGAAGGCTGCCCAGGTAGCCAAAGAAATGCGAAGATATGGCACAGAAGTGCTGGGAATCTGCGAGAGCAAATAGAATGAATGTGGATTGTCACAACTGTCAACCTGTGAGCCAGTAGTCTACTTCGGTAACCCAGACACCAACGACGAGAACAATGAGGTCCTGAATGGCTATCATGATGTCACCAGTAGCTGCCAAAGCCCTAATGGCAATCAATTTGATGCAGGATCATGACAGAAAGATTAGACTCAAAACAAAGGAAGGTCACAATTATCCGGTGCTACGCACAATGCTAAAAACAACGCGGAACAAGAGAAGAAGGAAGATTTTTACAGACAACTACAAACAGTAATGGACAACATCGCAAATGGTGACATCAAAATCCTTTTGGGCGATATGAATGTATGCCTGACTGGGAGCAGATAATGGAGGAAGAGAACTCATCATGGGTCGAGAGGCTCTGGCTCTGAGAAATGAATGGGAACCAAGAATTATTCGCAGACTTCTGCACTTTCAGTGATTCGGTGATCGGAGGTAGCGTGTACAGACACAAAGCAACAAAGCAACATGGATTTCGCCTGACGGACACACCATAAACCAGACAGACGTCATCTTAATACCGCTCAAGGAAGTGGAACCGCAGCCTGCTGGACACAAAGTTGAGAAGGGGAGCAGATGTGGGCTCAGACCATCATCTAGTCCAAGGAACCTTCAAGGTGAAGCTGAAATCCATGAAAACAAATGGAGACAGACCACAATTCAAGTTCAACATTCAGAAACTGAAGGACAAAACTACAAGGGATGCCTTCGCTACAGATACCAGAGCAAAGTCGGACACACTACGTGGCATCACTGAGGGAACTTGTGTGGAAGCGCATTGGAACTCTCTGAAGTTGATGTTCAAGGAAACGTGTACAATTGTTCTAGGAAGAAAGAAGAGATACGATAAGGGATGGCTCTCAGCGAATACCTGGAGACTAATAGAAGTGAGGAGAGGAGATGGCTCAATGCAAAGATGGGCAACAGGAGGAGAAGCTGAGTTCAATGTACACTGCACTGTATTGAATAAGGAAGTGAAGAAGAGTGCTAAGGAAGACAAAAGACAATTACACGACACACTCGCCGGCAACTGAAGTAGAACAGGCCGCAGGTAAAGGAGACTGCAGGACATTATATCAGATAACCAGGTGTGTATCCGGGAATAGATAAACCCAGATGATGAAACCAATAAAAGACAGACCTTGTAGATAGTCATATTAGGTAATGATGAATTGTAAGATAAGCAAATAAACTAAGTTTTAATGAAGATTTCATAAAATTAAGGAGGACTTGTTAAGAAAGAGATTACAAGTATATAAAGGGTGTTGGATGTATAGTCGTTTGGTTGTCTTAGCTGACCAATTAACGAATAATGACTGTACAAACTTCTTCTGAATGTAAAGCTTAGGCTTAGCAGTTTGAATACCAATTCCTTTAGCTATATGGGATACTAGATGAATACGCAGACCATAGGAAAGATTCACTGGAATGCGATGAATCATCTTGGATGCTTTTGTTTTGTTTACTAGATAAACACTGTCAACTAAACGCGTCAAAACACAGCTTCTGATGGCTTTTGTCTGTGCTTTGCCAAACCAAGGTGAGAGATGTTCAATGACATGTTGGCTAAGCTGTGGTAGCAGTTTGCGCGACACAGTTATCCCCACAGGAGCAGCTGAATTAATGAACATATTATATATATTATAGACTCGAACAAAAATTACTGTGTAAAAAAATTAGAATTTTAATTTGAACACTAGAAAAAACCCCTTTGAAATGCATTACTTACTCGTAATAGAGTCGCTTCCCTTTCAGCTGCGGCTATTTTTGTTTCCTCGGGATTATCTAATGAATTGAAGAAAAAAAACAACGTTAAAACAATAAACGTTTATTTCAATGGATTTGAAAATGCAATTCTGTTTGTATTTTGTGCCCCCATAAATGACCCGGTACGGACGACAATGGGTAGACTTCAGTCTTCCTCTACAAGTGATCCTATGTAGTGTTCCTCACAAAGGTGAAAGAGCGAGTGCGAACCTCTGGAACTTATAACCGGACTGGTAGATAGACAGATCAAACTAGGAGGGCTAGAAAACCCTGATTCCAAAAATATGGTGTACTTGGACTCCAGAATCCGAAAGCATCAAATGGTGTATGAACCTGTTTCGGTCACCGGCAAACATGGAAACATAGCTCCTTACGTTGCTCCACTGCCTTGTAGATCAGACTTCAAGTCAAAAACTGGAGGGGGAGCTCCATTAAGACAACCATCTGGTTTGGTCGGGACATCCGGAAAGTATCCCAGCCCGCGCACAAACGGTGAGATTTTGTGTGGGGCTTATCATATACCAAGTTCGTGATTTAATAAATATAATAGTAAATGGGACTCTTCATCAGTACGCACCCACCGGGGTTCGAACCCACGACCTTCCGGTTACAGGGAGAGCTCATAGATCATTCACGCACTGGCACCCGACTCAACTGTCCATGAATTCCAACATTTGCCACTTCGTGATATAAATATTTTTTGGGCAGCCGCCAAACAGTGTCACAGGCGAAGAAACTGTCCTATTGCTTGGCTTGGTGGACGCCGCTGGTTACCACTTCTCACTAGAATGGTTCTCTACTGATTCAGCTGTAATCAATCCTATAACCAATCAAATCCCTGCAAAACACTTGGCAATTATAAATCACAAAAACCAAATGTCTTTAAATTTCGGGTGAATATAAAAGCAAATTTAAGAGCTATTTTTGCAAATAGTGTAGTGAGCCGGGCAACATATATTCCTGCCGTATAGAAAAAATTGACAAAACGCTTTTGAAACGAGTGAGATTACTTTCCCTTTGACTTCGGCTTCGTTGACAGGATTGGAAAAAGGCGGTCAATTGCAATTTTGAATTTCCTCAAGTAGTTGGTATTGCATACGGTCTTACGTAATCCTGCATTACTTGTTTAAAGGAATATTATAATCATTTCAAATGTTACATTTGGCTGTTTTGAAGGTATTTTATCTACTTTCTACATAAGTGAAATGTGGGGGTTGCGCCATTTGCTGTACTATGTGCGGCAAAACCGTGAAATTACTTTGATCCTCGACCTAAAACCAGTAGTCTGAGAATCCTGAGTTCGATCCTCAGTGGAGTGATCGGTGAGGACTGCTGGAACAACTCTCTAGTGCTTTCTGTTTTTAATTTTGTTCACAAGGACTTGAAATACACAGTTTATCGAACAACATGCTCTTTAGTCTAATCAAAGGTCGACAGATCGCCTTCCAATGTTAACTCCAACTATGTATAGGAATTTACATGTATCTGAGGAAGCAGTTACATTAAGTGAACAAAAAGAAGGCTACACGTTAGATTTGTTGCAAGTTTGATCACAGACTGGTATCAGTTGGAGAACTATTAGAAAACCTGGGAATACTGGACAGCTGTTTCGTCCTAGTTTGGGGCTCATCTGTAGTACGCACCTACCGGGTTCCGAATCCAGGCAGGACCTTCTGGTTACAAGGCAAGTTAGAATTCATGAGCCACTGTGGCTGTGGCCACCCAGTGGCTGAATGATTTACTAGCCTGCTTTGTCAACGGAAGGTTGTGAATTCGAAACCGGGTGGATGAGTACTGCTGATGAGCCCCAAACTAGGACGAAGCGGCTGTCCAGCACTCCCAGGTTTTCTAACTGATGTCAACTCATGAAGAAACCTGTAACCAATCAAAACCCTGTTAAACAACGCTTGATAGTATATCCAATAAACAAAATAATATGCGATTTCATGGTACCACAGTGCCTAAGGTTTTGTACACATAATAACTTGAACCATCTTTGGATAAGCTACATAAAAATATCACTTCTGAACATATTTTTGTTATTTTTAGACGTTTCTGTTAACTGATATCACGTTATCTTTATGGCTGACAAGAAGCCGACAAAACAAAATGATATTACCGTCTTATTCTGTGCAAATACCTTTGTCAGTTACTGTTTTCAAAAGACAAAAAATTTCTTACCGAATGATTTTCCCGAATATGCAGACATTTTTTTATGCTCGTTATTTACTGGAACACTTCTTTGATGTATAAGCATTTCTGGATCAATATCATCCTTTTCATTATTATTATTATTATTATTATTCTACTACTACTACTATTCTCATTTTGATCAATGGGTTTAGACACCATTGCACATTGATCATCCTCATCGCCACCTGTATTCTTTGTTGCCTGTACCAACAACGATGATGTTGAATCATTTAATTCAGGTGTAATTGTTGTTATATTCTTTCGGGCTAAACGTTTCTGTTCATATCTTAACGATAACCACACTTGACGCAGACGTGATTGACCATAGGGTAAAAAGACTTCTTTAATTGTATCAAACATCTGTCGAATAAGCAGCAGTGTGACAAGTTGCTAAAAACAAAAAAAAGAGAACTATTAATTATGGGTTTTTGTAGGGGTTTGGATCAATTTCAGTGTAGATCAGTGTGAAAAACATTGAAGATCAGGGAGCACTGGACAGCTGTTTCATCATCATCACCCACAATCTCACGAGAGATAGAATACGGGACCTTCAGGTTGAGAGATCAAGATTGTTGACTATTCCGCCAGGGTGGTGGGGGGGGGGCTGGAATTTAATGTCCCGTGAATTATAACATTTTCAGTTCGTGGCCAGTGGAGTCCATCATAACAAGGTGAAGTGGATGCTCACAGGAGACACTGGTTGGCAGTAGTGCAATATCACGAAATGACTAAGTTAAAAACCAGAATGAAACAACACTGCGGTGCTCCCTGGTCTTTATTGATCTCTCTAACCAATATCGATTCGTGATGATATCTACATTGAAATTTCACGAATATAAACACTATTTTGTAATTAATAGTGTTCTCTGAGCTGGTTGGTTTAGTTGGTAAGCTTTCATCGTCCCCCTGCTGGACAACATCTTCAGCGCCATATTTAGCAAATTTCTTCATGAGTGATATAATTTCGTCTCCCGGTTACTATCTTTACATATGTATTGACCATTTTCTATTGACTTGGATTTTAAACCTTCTGGTCACCTGATTTACTTTTTATCAGTTGGTATATTTCGTCTATATTAACGTGCTTGTTAATTGCATTTTCGTTTGAGTACCAGGCTTCTAGAAATTCCCTGGCACTTTTAGTGTTTCCTCTGTCTAAGATTTCAACATTATCCCAATCAAATTGATGACCATAATTGTCTACATGCATTGATACTAAAGAATACATATCGTGTCTTTTCACGGCTGATTTGTGTTCTTGGATTCTGATTCGAAGGGGACGCCCACTTTGGCCGATGTAATGCTTGTTGCAGTGCATACAATTTATTTTGTAAATGGTATTAATTTTTATCTCCTTTTTCTGTTGGATCTTTCGGTTCGCATAATATCGAATAAAGCGATTTTACTGGCATGTGTGCTATATCTATATCAAACAGTTTCATTATTCTAGCTGTTATTTCAGAGATATTCCTCATGTATGGTAGAATGAATTTTCTTGTGGTCTTTGATGAGGGTTTCTTGTTGGTGTTTTGATTCGACTTTAAACACTTTTTGATGAAATTTTCTGGATAACCATTCTTTTTATACTCTATGTTACTTGCTTCGTAGAATGTAAGACTTTCATTTCGTCCTATTTGTAACCCCTCAGTTGGAGGTGCCTGCATTGTCATTGAGTGATGGTGTTTTCAGTGAAACTCATTGACCCAATAGACAAAGCTTTGGTGTTTGAAGTCATGAGTACTAAGTTCCAGTTGAAAGGCTATCACTCACTGGGAAGCAAGTATATCCGGCTGACGAGTCTCAGACAGAGCAAAAGGGGGGGGGCGCATCCTAGATTCTACTGGCAGTCACTACCAAACAAGCAAGTAATTCCGGTAACATCAAGGCATGCGTGTACCAAAATGAGGTTGATTATTCTCAGTCAATTTTATCAACGGGAAATCATCAACATGAATAAATATTTTACGCTCTGTCTTTGGGCTAAATAGATATAATAATGACATGTTCACTCCAAGATTTGATTATTCTGAATTAAACTCTAAAGAATCTTAACCTAGAAAGACAGGAGTTGTCCAGTGTTCTCTGCATTCCACTGATACACTGTAATACCCATCACAGAGACTTAGAAATGTCTAGCCCATTCACAAGAATAATAAGTCTTTCATTACACACTGAGTTTTGTGCTATGCAATTTTATGCCTTAAACTGACTGACCGTTTCAATACCAAAGCCAAATACTTCCTGGCTGATTACTTGTAATCTTGTTGTTCTACAACCACAGAAGAGCCAAACTTCGAATTAGTGTTTAATGACTGGAAACTATCTGCAGGAAGTCCTGGACCTAGGTTTCTCCTCTGTTGACACTCATCATCCGGGTGTATCTTTAACCTTGGTGTCTCTGAGATTCGAACCCGCATTAAGCAGTTTTGCAGTCAGAGATGTTACCACAGAGCTATTTGGGACCACAACTCCCCTACTGTACGATTGCCAAGGATACACTGAATGATTTTCAGGGAGTAACCAATACCACCATGTTTCTAATCCTTTGCATTGGTTAAGACTGAATTCTATCATCCTACTCATTTATGACTCACTGAAGCCTTTTATTCTTTCATTTTACTGACTAATTGGTAAACATGTTGATGATCGTGAGACTATGTGGAAAATAACCTTTGGTTGTCAGACTACTATAGATAACTGAAGGTTAAGGTGAAATCCTGTGTCCAGGTGTACCAGTGACCTACGACGAATTAGTAGTCTGATGCTCTGCCAACCGTGAAACAAGACTTGCTTACTGAATGAGTTTCGACATGGAACTCCTCACAAAAATGCCGCATTTCAAGTTGCCACAAACTATGCAGCACACAAAGGTATAGAAAAGGAAGAAAAAGAGATTCAAAAGAACTATAGTAAGCAGAAATGTACCGGAGAAGGAATAGTAACATGAGGGAAACATGAGGGCTCAATAGATCTGGAAGATTACAAAGAGTGAATGCATCTGCATCATTGGGAACGATTTCGAGCCATACTGCCAACAGCTTCCAGGCAATGGGTTTTAACGTTTGTACCACCCTACGTGACTCAGACCAACAGTTGAAGACTTCATGCATAGATGCCAAGTTTGATCACCCTTAGCTCTTTTCTAACCTAATCTCATGTCAGTCAATATGGGTTGAAGAGGAAGGCGGTGGTTTGAAATGCGGAGCACATGTACCAGCTACAAGACTCGGATGCTAACCAGATCATCATTTCACTGCAGTAATGTCCAGCTGTCATGTAAATGAATGACACACTACTGTCTGTCTGCCTGTCTGTCATCACACTGACTGCTCAGTTAGGTTTTCTCCAGCCAATCCTGTTCATACTGAATTAGTAGAAGAAGAAGGGCAGGTTCTCAAATTAATCATAAACAAACAATCAGGTATCATTCATCTACATGGTGTAGATGAGCATTACCTGTGGTGACCACACACTGAAACGATGATACTGTTAGTGGGAAATAAACGCTAGTCACAAGTTTGATCATAAACTGACTTCACTTAGAGAACCAATAAAAACCAGTAGGGAGTACTGGACAGCTATTTTGTCCTTTTTCCAACCGTATAATGAAGACTAGGGTGGCATACATCAACTTTAGCCACCTCTGGCACCGTTGCGACGTTAGCCTGGCTGTCAGAGGTCGGGTATACAAAGCTTCGGTGCGGGCTGTCTTGCTCTACGCCTGTGAAACCTGGCCTCTCCGAACTGAGGATGTGCGGCGGCTCTGCGTGTTCGATCATCGCTGTCTCCTCAGGATTGCTTGCGTTCGATGACATCATCGCGTGAGTAATTCTGAGGTTCGGCGGCGTGTGTTTGAACGCAGTGGAGATCACCATTCATTGAGTGTCGTCACCTGGAAACACCGGCTCCGGTGGCTTGGACATGTGCTGCGAATGTCATCCTAGAGGCTTCCGTACAGGCCTCTGTTCGCTAGCCCTGGGACGGGATGGAAAAAGCGGACGGGTGATCAGTCGATGACGCGGCCTCGTGGGATGAAGGATATTTGTGCTAAATTAGCATCGGTTGGTGCGTCACGACTCCCTCGTTGGGGTCCGCGAGATAGCTCGAATCGATGGCTCGAAACGTTATCGAATATGGCCAAGAATCGTAATCAATGGCAAACGTGTTGCAATTCCCTTCCTTCTTCCCTTCCCGATGATAGCTGATGAATACTGTTTGAACTTGTTAAGTATGACTGTTTTCCTTCCAGATGAAGTTCTTTATCCGTTCTTTACTTATATTTTTAAATTTGATCTATGTTGTTTTATTATTATCATCGTATGGCGCATCTTTCTTGGTGCCATATTGTACCAAGTTTTTTCTGCGTTTAAATAAATAAATAATATTTTGTCCTTGTTTGGGACTCTTTAGCAGCAAATAAAAACCACTCCAACGTCAGGGATAGGCCTCAGGACCTTCAGGTTATAATGCGAGCTCTTTGACCATTTAGCGACTGGGAGAGAAGCCAATAGCCCGTCCATGAATTCCAATAATAATACAAGTGAAAATTGCCGTGAGCTTGTTTCACACAGTATTGTCGATGCGGTATAGAAATCCTAGCATGTTTAAAAAAAACATTGAATATAATGTTCTCTTTACATGATATGGTGAGGGGAAAAACAAAGATTACAACAGTCATAGAGATAAGTTGGTGTTTGCAATTATGACAGTAAAACAAAGAAGCAACAGGACCATAAATATAATGGAAATAATAAAAGTAAAACTCGAAGGTGTATAAGGATGGATGGAGGAAATTGTTTATTTACTGGATGAAAAAAGGTTAGTTGATTCTTGCCTGACACTATTTTCATCACATAAAATACGTGAAAAGTATGGTATCATAGAATCTCCATACTTAGGCATGCGAGCATACAGTTTTCTGAAGTTACTTCTTGTTCTACCTGAAGAGATGCAATGTGAAAGCTGAGGGTAAAGTGGATGCTCCAAGTCAGACAAAATCCCTCTAGCAAATGTCAGGCGGGATATTTTACTGGAGATCGCTAAGACATGGGAAGACCAGGAGAGATCAGAAAAAAGAGAATAAGTCCAAGATACTTAATTTCTGATTTAATTCCTATATTATTCCCATATTGAATCATAAGAAAAAGGCACAAACAGCGAAGAAAATTTTCTTTTCGACGATTGTACAGCTCATGAAAATGAATCGTCGAAAAGAAAATTTTCTTCGCTGTTTGTACCTTTTTCCTATACTATTGTCGTCAATCTTACAACTGTCATGAGAATCGACGGCTTCTTTTAACTGTCGTTTACATCTTAAGCTGAAATTAACAGTTTGACATTTAGAAGGATTCAGTTTAAGACCATTAGACTCAGACCATTTACTGACTCCC